ATTTTACTTCACAACTCTTTAGGAGCATGAAGTATGTGCATGGCAAACATACAGAAAATCAAAGACTTTGCATAGAGGTCTAAATGTGTTGCTTTTGCTCAATAAATTTACAGCTGTGTTGCTGCCTCAGTTTTCTCACCAGTCTGAGACAGCTCCGTGGACTGGAGTTGCAATATTTTTGGGATGTACAGAAGCATCCCTCAGCAGTTCATGGCTTCTTATATGAACCAGGAAATTCTTTGAGCTCACAGTCCTTCATCTGACTTTACTATTCTCATAAAAATTCTGGGTCCTTGAAACAAAAATTGTTGACCTTCTCCTATTCCCTTTTCCCACCAAAAGCTTCTCCTTTCTCAGTGACATTCTCAGGTTTATGTGTCTCTTCACCAATATCTGGCTTCTTTGTTCTGCCAGGTTTTACTTCACTGCTCCATGAATACAAGGTGGAAAAGGTTATTTCACTGTTTGTCAGCTTAGCATTTTGGTATAGCTGTTGCCAAGCTGGAGCATTGTTAAGACTGACAATTGTCTATTTTAGATCTGGGAAGAGTATGTTCATCATCTCACCTGAAAAAAGGTGGGATTCATACACAAATGCAGTCATCCAGTAGCACAGCAATCTTCTTGCTAGCAACATTTCCATTGCAATTAGAACTCTAAATTTCTGACTAGATAGATTCCCCACCTCTCCACAAAAAGCCCTATCTTCACCAGCTGAGACTCATGTAATCATCTTGCCCGACTGCTTGAAAAACACGTGTGTAAGGAATGCACTTAAACCCACTCTTCAGGTTTCTACTGTATATGGTTTGTTTTATTTCCTTATGTAAAGTGGTTTCTAACACAGACTTTGCATAAAAGACATTTCACTTCTCACTTGGAAAAGCCCATTAAGGAAAGAGCTTTGTGAGTAAACAAACCTCAGATGCAGAAAAAGGGCAGTAAACATAAAAGCCAAAAGTAAATACATCTGAACTTGATTAATGTTCCTTTCAAGTCAGCTTTTAACAATGTTTGCATGGTGCATTTACCTGTGTCAGCTACTTTTTACCATATGGCTGCATATTGAAGTTGAGTGAAATATTACAGTGCACTGGCTATAAAGTAGTATTTCAGGGCACACTTGACAACATGCTGAGGAAAACCAGGGTGTCTTGTCAAACCAGATGGCAGTCGTTGATCTGGGGCTATACTTTCAGGCCACGCTTTATAAGAAAAGTCTGATAATTACAAAGCATACAGAAGCCAATTTGAACAACAAATTTACAATCAAAGGTCACTTTGGGTTAGAAGGGACTTCTGGAGGTCACTTAGTTGACTCCCACCCCCACAGAAAGCAAAGCCTGCTTTGAAGTTAGATCTGTTCCGGTAACAGTTATTCTTTACAATATAGAGGAGGTTTGTAAAACCTTTCTCCGTTGCTATTTTGTGAAGTAGGAAGATACTGGTTTTGGTAGCAAGCAGCATGTTTCTGTCAGGTGAAGGAAGAAATTCTGTAAGAAAAGGTGATGACACCAGTTCTTAAGAAAGACGGGTTTGTTCATTGGCAATCCAAACCTCTAAAAGGCATTTCCAACTGCCCCCAGTAAGCCATGGTCAGAATCAGCTGGCAGTTTTCTGGTATGCAGACATAAGTCTTGTAAGGCTTACATTTCAACTGGCCATTAGAAATCCCTCTTCCACTTCAGTCTTTTTCCAAAGATACTAACATTCTTGATGTTAACTGTTGCTTTCAGCCATGTCTGTGCTAATGGAAATCAAATAAATGAAGTGGGTTTAGGCTGTTGCTGGTATGAAAGTGAACGTGGTACAAGACAGAGCTAATCTTACTCTCCTCAGTGCTCCTAATCACAGAGCAAGCTGCAGCTCACAGATACTAAGAATGTTGCTGTGGTAGAAAAACCCAGATGAACCTACTGCAAGCCCTTAAAATCTATGGTAAATAGCAGAGGTGAGGAATGAGCAAGAAGACTAATCACCCAATTTGCCAGTTGTTCCTCTGCTAAAATAGCAAATATCTCACTCATAGTAAAGCAGGTCAGAGGATTGCAAAAGTAGTGTTCCTTAGCCAGACAAGAAGAATTCAATACTTAAAAACTATTTTTTTTATACTTGCTTGTGAAAAATCGTTAACATTCAGTGAACTTTTTTTGTGATGACTATAAACCAGTGAGTAGATTCTTTGCACATCTTTCCATACAAACACTCCACCAACTTTAACTGAATCCATACCTTACACAGTACACATATGCTATTGCTTATGACATTCTCCTAATTGGGACAAATGTATGGAGATGAATAGAGGAGGTACATATCAGAAAAGATAATGGAAGCTTCCTATGCAAGGTATCCACTATGCCACTCTAAAATGCCAGTTGAGAGTATAAGTAAGTTTTAAAGTCAATCCCTACAAACTAATCTTTATAGTACATCTAAAAATAGCTACTATTATCTGGTCTAATAATATCAGCTCTTGACTAATTGTAAAGTTTGAAACTATCAAAAAAAACCCCAAATCCTTCAAGCATTTTGCACACAGTTTATCTGTATCTGAAAACTCTTACTTCAGCTGTTTCAAGATAACAGCGTGTAAAACAGTAGCTGAAGCAGAAAGAACAGAGACTCATCATATCACACACGTATCATATGCTCAATGGTTTACAGTAAAAAACAACTCATGCATGAATTCATAGACACATGTAGACTGGTCAAGCTGCTGACAAGCTTTCACATACTAAGATGTGACAATCATCCTGATTTATTTTTACTGCAGTTCATAAGTATCCAGTGAGAGCTGGTAAAAATAGAAACTTGTAAATCAAGATACATTTCTGGGTATTCTTATGCTTATTACAGTAACTAGTACTATTGCTCCTTTCATATGAAATGCAGTGGATAGGGCGTAGGATTGTTGTGCAAAGCTGAGCTGCCTCTGCCCAGGGATGCCAGGTGAAACCTTTCAGTGTACAGACCATTAAGAGGAGAAGCAGGGTAGTGTTTGCTATGTTTGTAAAATGGGCAAGAAGCGTTGCCCACACCTGTTCTTCCCTGCCCATGCCAAGGCAACATTTACTCAGCAGCATAAGATAATGTCAGGATGACTTTCATTTCAGTAAGGAACAATGATAATCACCATAATCTAATTTCAAAGGCTGTGATGTACTATTTATGTTCATCCACATAAATTCTGTTTGAATTACTTCCATTTTATGATTAGGAGGGAAAAAGAAATATAAAAATGCAAAATGAAGTCCTTCCAGGAACACAGAGGGTTAGATTTTTCACCATGGCTGACAGAAGGAGCTCATAGTTCCCAGTGGAGAAAAATCTGGCATGGGGAGAAATTGCTTGACCTTATGCACTGACCCTTATGTATTGCTAGATGGTACAAGCCACGGCAGTCCCCAGGCTGCTGTTGCATCTGAAGCTAAGCAATGCTTCAAGAAGCTGCCTCTGATTCTCTGACATCTTACCTGATTTGCCATGTCAGCGAGGACATAGCAAGCCTAGTGCGGATTTGTCTCAGCTGAATCCAATGGCTACAAATGAGTATTTGAAGGTACAATACATAGATATTAAAGTAGAGGTGATGACAGAGAAAGATTAGTTTTTCTCTTCCACAAGTAAAATCAACAGCAGCCCTGCTGTTTAATTAATCAGCTATTCTGGTGAAACAGAAGAGGGTGTGAATGCTGTCTTTCCACTCTCATAGCAGCACCGTAGGTCCACTTTGTGCTAGAGTAAATAGCTGCAACATGACACTGGAGAAGGCAGCTCCCATCTAAATCCAGAGCAAGTGCTATGAAGAAAACCTTAACATTACTGATATGATATTTTTTGTGAAACAGATAGCACTCTTCCAAGAGCAAGAGAATGACAAAAGTAATTTCCATGTGAACACCTTTCTTCAATCTTGTGACATCTCTCTTAGGAGCAAATGCAGCTCACCAGAGCCAGTGCTTTTTGCAAGTAATATGACAAATCCTACCCAGTGCCCTTGCTTCACTATCTGATTACTATCTAAGATGCAAAGTTGTTTCCTGTTGGGTGTTTTTTCAAAACTGGCACTGTAGAAGCTGCGCCCAGCACACAGCGTATTTGGAGTTGAATGAGGCATTTTTAGGCATTCCAGTAATAGGAAGTAAAACAGATAAGTGCCTGGCATGGAGAAGACTCATCTTTTCCTCTGAGAAAAGTTAAAATTACCGTTTAAAAATAATCAGTGGTGAAATCTGGCTGAGCTTCATTTTCACTTTTCCTTCCAAATTCCTCCTAAAGAAAATTCTGTTGAGTAATTAGTTCAAATGTAAAACTTCTTACTGTCATGTAGCATAGCATCACAGTTCACGCATTTTTACCTGACTTACTTACGGGGTTTTACATAGACTGTGCATTAAAATTCTATTCTGTGACATAATGTTAATTTACTGTTGGTTTTGGGATTTTTTTTTTTGTCTGTCCTTTGATTTCACTTCAACCTCTTACTGCTTTTGTGATATGAAATATCTTCCATATATTGCCATGCTGGTGGGTACTTGTGGTAATTTCCAGTTTAATGTGTTGGAAAGTTTGGAAATGAGATGCAGACGTGTAATGATGTCTCCACCTGAAAGATGACTGTTTAGACATAAGATAGCATGTACAGCTTTTATTCAAATTTCCACAAGATGTTTGAATCCAAGCACCATTCCTGAGATGGGAACAGTTAATAAACACATTCTTAAACAACAATTCCTTGAGCAACAGTAAATCCAAAAGTAAAGTGTATCAAAGGCACTCAGATAACCTCTTCAGAATGGTAAACCACATTTCATGACAGCATAATTCCCAGTAACTTCAAGATATGGTATCTGAAGAGGCATAGCTTTCCATTGCTGCAGTGCCAATAAATCCCCGTGAGTTCACTGTTCATCCCAAAGCTAAAGTGCTGTAACTTTTCTTTGAAGTCCCCAAAACCAGACACAAATAGTGCAAATTATGGCATGTGAGATGGAGAGTTTTCACAGACCCACACTCCCACTGTCTCTTGAAGCTGTGACAGTTGACAAGTATAAAGCCTCGGTTTGGGAGTTAAAATCATCTCCTTAAAGAAGGAAAATGGAATAGCATTATTTTAAAAATCTGCAATAATTTAAGCAAATAAATAGCCTGATTTTAACAACTGAGTGATAAAAAGTGAAAGCTTGTATGCAAGCTTTTCTGGGCCATGCTGAAGTTACAATAGCTCCTTAAAGCTGCCATTAATTACAAAGACATCCTGTTGCAATCTTTTCAGAGGAAAGAATTCTCTCTCTCTCTCATCTGTGGTCCAAATTCTGCATTTTCTGTAACATCAAAGCTATCACTGACTATCAGCCATATAAATGAAATAACAAAACTGAAATCTGGTTAGGTAGCATTCACAGGAATGCTTGTCACTAAAATCTCTGCATCTGAATAAAAGTTTGCAGAACTGGGACTTCAGTGATGAGGTCAAATGTCCTACATCTTCAGTGCTGATACAGCTTGAGCTGTAGGCTAAAATGATAACATGAACTATCCTTGTTCCTGTAACCAGGGCCATGTGGGTCATTTCCAAGACTTTCTGGTAAAGTATCTGTGGCTTTTATGCTTCAACTACCTACTCATCATGGAAAAAAGGTTCTTTCCAGTGTTTCTTAAAAATATGCGATGCTGAGAAATATAAATGTTTGTCATATGACTTACTGCATGTTGCAAAAAGATTTTCGGTCATTAAAATGAAGAAGTAAAGCAAAACCACAAAAAGCAACTACCTCTCCTTTAATTTCTTCATTTCAGAAAGTGCACAGAGGAGGCTAGGGCCTACAAAGGGAAAAAATTCTACAACAGTAATACAAAAAGCCACGTGAAGCCACGCCGTCCTCAGACAACGTGCACTGGAATTATGTCTGGACATGCACCAACACTGTCCTCCAGATTGCTGCTTGCCTTGAGCTTTTGTGCATTTGCACATGGCGTAATTCCACTGAAGTTTCACACCATTATGTGAAACATAAGAAAGGGCCTTTGACTACAGCAAGTGCTGATTTCTGAAACGTGAAAGTGCTTTCCTGAAAGGGTCATTTTGACTGCAATATCTACCAACGTCAGTAGATTGGGCAGCTATGGGTAAGATGCAAGCACTACAATCTGAGGTGATATGGGCATCAGTGAATTCATGCCCTCTCCTCTCCAAAATCTCCATGCCTTCCAAAACAACCAGCTTTCTGTGTGTATCCTACTCAGCTGAGGCTACTAGAAGTTAGTATACAGAGGTGTATACCAAGCTATGTGTGCAAGCTATCTGTATCTCAGTGAAAGGGAACAAACATTTACAAATTTTTACATGGCCTGTGAGAAAGTCATAATGTTAGATACTGCATTTTTAAAAAATTGAAGAAAAGTTGAATTTAAATTCAAAACTAGCTTCTATTTTGATGCAACATTATTTAAGATGCCATCTATAGATTTATAAAGATTTTAGCCGAAGGAAAGAAAAAGCTGTAAGCATAAACATAGAAAACCCTATGACTTACTGTCCTCATCTTTCAGGTTAGGGTTCAGTTTTCTTTTCCTGTCTGTAAAGTAAATATATACAAATTTAGCTTAAACATTTCTAGATTTGAAAGGAACAATACAATTCAACAAACTTTTACATTAAACTGAGTTTTAAGCACATTTAATTTTATTATTAACTCATACCAAATACATAAAAGTCTCTACACTTCTTTTCTTTTACAAATTTTGAACCAAATTCTGAAATCCTTAATAGCAAGACTTTCATTTCATGACAACAAATACATTTGTCTGAGTTTACTGGAGTCTATTCATATGCAAGAAAAGACTAGAATAATAGCCTGTTTGCTTTATTACTTTTCCACTATTGCACTTGCAAACACGGAAAGAAACACTATTTGTAGTAGTCCAGTACAGCATATCATTTTAGTTATACAGCCTTAATGGAGATTGAAAATAAAAGTTCTGTGTCATATGCTGTAGCTACAATGTGTTTGTAGCCATGAAGAAAAACGCCATTCAAACTATGTTTTTGCAGCCCTCCTTACGCAAGCCAAAGCTTGTTTGTGTTCTTTGCAGAACAGTAGCTGGTCAGATAAAAAGATGTATCTTTCCATATACCTTGTCTCACGTAAGTAACAAGGCGAGGAAAATAAAACCCAACTCAAGTGATGCAAGATCTCATTTTAGAACAGAGCGCATCTAGAAATAAAATGTGACCAAACTCACACAAGCATGCCTAGAGTTACTAAAATTTCCAAAAATAAAGAATAAGTGAAAAGAACCACTATCTGAAGTAAAATGTACCTTTTTTGGGTTGGCCATTCTTGAATGATTTTCTCTTTTGAAAGATTATTAGTGCAGAGGGAAGGACAGCTACCATCACACATGTGGGGACGATAAATAAGATCAGGGATTTTTGTCCTCTATACTGTGTGCTCATTAAAGCTGTCAAAAACATGAAAAGAAAGTAAATTTGTAACTTACAAAACAGGCATCGTTTATGAACTTACCAGTTCTGATTCTCCAGTCTTGCTCTGACTGAACAAAAGATTCTTAAAATTTATCAATGTAGTGTTTTACGCTCATTTTATGAATACTTTATTCTGCAATATTACTATAAGAAGCTTTACAAAAAATAAGTCAAATCTCTCATTTGTATGGCATTTGAGTGAGAACTACTGCAATTTATCTGTATCCCATCTGAAGAACAATTAATTAGGAGTCTGGATCAGGGAAGACACCCATGCAGATTAAAGAATTTCCTCTGTACTGGCAGCCAACTAATGGGAGCTACCCTAAATTTAAGATATACAGAAAAATGACAGACTAGCTTGTTGGAGTGTGAGCTAGCTGAGGCTTCAAAGGCAGAAATAATACTGACTTGTTTCTTTTCCAGAGCATCAATATTACACTGTTTTCTAGATCCGAATTCCAGAGATGGATCATAGGACATGATGTATGTACAAACAGTCTCTGTCTTGTACAAGTTCAAGGTGATACGAACCTGAAGTGGAAATGCGAGCTGAAGTTTCTCCATTCAGTTCTTTATTCCAGAACACGCAGCTGTAGTTCTCACTCATATTTGGTTTGAATGTCAGGATGCTGGTCACATTGTAGAGACCATCTGTGGTCAGCGTATAGGTGGTATTTGCAGATACACTGAGATTCAAGTTCTCTTTTCGCCAGAAAACCTCTGCCAGAGGAAAGCCTTCTGACTGGCACATAAAAACATACTTGTCTTCACCTGGTTTTCTCATTACTTGAGTGTTTATTCTCTTGTAGGATGCTGCATAAGAAGTTGTTGAGTGAAATTACTTTATGCAACAACAGTCATTTTCCCACAGCAGTTCCCCTATTTCCCTCTCATGCCATATATTTAATGT